TGCCACAATCCCATCCCATTCCTATACCCTATTATGGGCAGGGTCACCTTCCACGATCCCATCTCATTATCACAGACTGGGCTGGGCAGGGTCACACACTGCAATCCCATTCCACTCCCATCCTCTGTCACTCTCCACGATTCCATTCTGTTCCCATGCCATGGGCAGGGTCACCTTCCATAATCCCATCCCATTCCCATATCATGAGCAGGGTCACCCTACATGATCCCACCCCGTTCCCATGCCCTGTCACCCTCCATGATCCCATGCCATTGTCACAGGCTGCTACAGGCAGTGTCACCCACCACGATCCCATCCCATTCCTATACCCTATTATGGGCAGGGTCACACATCACGATCCCATCCCATTCTCACACCCTGCTGTGGGCACGGTCACCCTACACGATCCCATTCTGTTCCCATGTCATGGGCAGGGTCACCTTCCAAGATCCCATCCCATTCTCACGGTCTGTCACCCTCCATGATCCCATTCCGTTCCCATGCCACGGGCAGGGTCACCCTCCACGATCCCACCCTGTTCCCATGTCCTGTCACCCTCCACAACCCCATCTCGTCCCCACACCCTGCTGTGGGCAGGGTCACCCTCCACGATCCCATCCTGTTCCCACGCCCTGCAGGGTCACACATCACGATCCCATCCCATTGTCACAGACTGCTGTGGGCAGGGTCACTCTCCACGATCCCATTCTGTTCCCACACCCTCCAAGATCCCATTGTGCTCCAGCCTGGGCTCAGACACTTCGTTCCTGGATTCCTGCAYGTCAGCCACAGATTTTCTGGGAATTCCATCCCAGAGCCTCCCCCAGGTTTGGGGCAGAAGGGACCATGGGATCATCCCGTTCTCACACTCTGCTGTGGACAGAGTCACCCTACATGATCCCATCCTATTCCCACACCCTGCTTTGGGTGTGACCCTCCACGATCCCATCCCGGGTCACTCTCCACGATCCCATCCCATTCCTACACCCTATTATGGGCAGGGTCACCCTCCACAATCCCATTGTGCTCTAACCTGGCCTGGGACACTTCGCCCCTGGATTCCTGCGTGTCAACCACATCTTCTCTGAAAATTCCATCCCAGTGCCTCCCCATTCTCCCAGGGAAGGATTTATTCCCAAAATCCCATCTAACTCTGCCCTCTGGCACTTTGAAGCCGTTTCCCCCTGTCCCGCCCATCCACGACCTTGTAAATGGTTTTTTTTTCCCATTTTTTCTGTCAGCTCCAGCGCTGGGAAAGGTCACAGCTCGTTTTACTGCATTAAACTGAGGAAAAGTGCCCCAAACTGCTGCAAACACAACCGCGCGTGATCTGATGTGGACCAAAGCTCTGTGGGAAAGATTTCCTTTAGAAAATTCCTGCTATTTCTTCCTAAAGTCCGCTCTGCCAGTGCGAAACCTTGTCCGGTCACTCCATCCTTTTGCCCTCCAAACCTCCCTGCAAGGGGGAAGCCGCGCACTCACCGGATGAGCCCCCGCCAGCCGCTCAGGTAAGGCTCCAGCAGCACCTCCCGCTGCTCCGTCACGCAGCGCTGGAAGGCGTCCAGAACCTCCCGCAGGCTGAACGCACCGGCGGCCGCCGCCACCGCCGCCATCGCCCCGCGCCTCCTCCTCCTCCTCCTCCTTCCTGCATCCCGCACCGCGCGCCTCAGCCAATCAGCGCCGCGTCCGTCACCCGCCGCCACCCGCGGACCAATCCGTTGCGGGTGCGTCACCGCGGCTCGGCCAATCCGCTGCGTGTGCGTCACCGCGGCTCGGCCAATCCGCTGCGGGTGCGTCACCGCGGCTCGGCCAATCCGCTGCGTGTGCGTCACCGCGGCTCGGCCAATCCGCGCGGGGTGCGTCAGGGGCGGGGCGCGCAGGCGCGGAGGAGCTGCCGGGCCCTGTGAGGCGGTGCGGCCGAGCCGGGTGAGTTTGTGGCAATTTCTGTGTTTTTTTTAAAGCATTTTCTGCGATTTTCTGCTTCTTTGMGTGTTCSCGTRTGTTTTTATGTGTTTTTGTGTGTGTTTTCCCCGTCTGGCGGCGGTGATGGTGGATACCGAAGCCATACGCGGCCGATTTCCCACATTGTTTACATCTCCCCCGTGTTTTCTGCCTCTTCTCAGGAAAAAAAAAATCGATCTGTGCTTGAATCAGATACTGAAAATCAKTGGAAATGGCGTCGGAAAAAGCACCGAAATCTTCTCTTTTCGTGGCCCTGACGGATCTGTTTCTGGACTAATTTCCCGTGCGGGTTTGGGACCTGGAGAGCGCTAAAATGCCTGAGATTAAAGTCACWCCTTTGGGTAAGTCCGGCTTAAAACCGTCTTGAAATACGCCAAAAACCTGCGGAATTTGGAATTCGGGGTGATGTTTGCCAGATTTTTGGAGCCATCGCTGTTTTTCTGCTGTTTTTCTGC